TCTCCCAAGTTTGGTTCTTTGTTAGAGCCTTCATTTATTGATTCATAGCTTCCTTCCAGTGGGGGCACTACATTACCTCTGTAACATTGCGAGGAATGGAAATAGAAGAGATAGCAAAAATATGGGCACAATAGGAAGGTGAAAGAGCATCAAAAGACACATAGTTCATGATAGGATACTTGCTACATGTCCTCTTCCCTTTTCGAATGGAAATAGGAAGATCAAGGTCAGAATCAATAGTAGGATTGTTAGGAGGTTCAATGTTACCTAAGTCTGGGGAATCAGATTGTGATGGGCATTCTGCTTCAAAAGCCACCCTCTTATTGTGCCTGATGAAAAACTACTGCTAGGACCGAGGTCTATACACAGGAGGAGGAGGAGAAGGAATAGAGGTAGGAACAGGAAGGCAGAAGGGAGTCCGATTTTCACTTGCATTCTTCCCCTAAAGAGAAGGATGAGATGACTGGAAAAAGGAAGAGGATTCCAAAAATGTAATATCCTTAGAGACATATCTCTTTCTAGAGAGAACATCGAAGCATCTATAGCCTTTCTGGACTGGAGAGTAACCAAGGAATACACACTTAACGGATTTAGGATCAAACTTGCGCTAGGAAGGACTCATATCATGAACAAAACAAATACAACCAAAAACCTTAAGGGGTAGATTAAAAGGAGGTTCATCAGGGAAGAGTAGTTGATGAGGAGAATGAAGGTTAAGGACCCTTGATGACAGTTTGTTAATGAGATATATACAACTGTCTCAATAGCATCATCCCAGAATCGAGTTGGAACATGAGTTTGAAACAACAAGCCTCGAGCAATTTCAACCACATGCCTATTTTTTCTTTCAGCCACCCCATTTTGTTATGGAGTATGACTATATGAACTTTGGTGAATAGTACCCATGTCTTCAAGAAATCTATGCAAATGATGTTTAAAGTATTCATTGGCATTGTTAGATCTTATTATCTTAATTCTTTTCTCAAAATGTGTCTCGATCATATTCATGAAGGTTTGAACAATCATAGGAACTTCATTTCTACTTTTCGTCAAGTAAAGCTATGTAAACTAATTGTAATCATCAACGAAGAGAATGAAATATCTATACCCCCATACAGGGGACAGCATATGGGCCCCAAACATCAATATGGATCAAATGGAAAGCAACATTACTTTTTTTTATTCTTTGCAAAATATGTGTTTCTACATTGTTTGGATAAATGACAAACTCCACATTCAAAATTCAATTTGGACACAGAACCAAACAATTATGAAAACAAAAACTTGATAGAATCGACAAACATATGACCAAGGCAACAATGCCATAATTTCAAAAGACTCATTTTCTCATTGGAACAAGACTTAGTCTAGCTTGACAATCCATGCTCTGAAAGTCCATTTAGGAGGTAGACTCCATCCACTTCATGCCCACTTCCAATCGTCTTCCCCATGCTCAGGTCCTCAAAAACACAATGGTTGGGAAAAAAAGGTTACTAAGCAATTGTAGGATTTTGTTAGAGAACTAACGGATAATAGATTTTTTTTTGTAGCTCAGGCACATGTAGAACAGAGTCAAGAGAAAGGTTATTAGTGATTTTGACTTCACCCTGACTTGAGATTGGTGTATGAGATCCATCCGCAACAGTAATCTTGCCATTCCCCGGGGTTAACTTATATGAGGTAAAATGTGAAGACATACGAGTCATATGGGCACTAGCCCCAAAGTCTACAACCCATGGGCTAAAGGAGGTGGAACAAGCAAATGCAGTACCTGTCTTGGCATATGAACTAGATAGATTACTAAGTCCAAAACCAAATGATGAGGATGTAGCACCGTTCTCTGCAACAATATATTCTTGAATTTGTCCATCACATTAGCGGATTCAAGTACATCCAAGGGCTGAGCATCATTACCAACTGTAGCCAAGTGACCATTGCCCTTCTTCCCCATTTTGTACTTCTCCGGTTTTAGATGATGATTGATCTTCTAGCACCTTTCTTTAGTGTGTCTTGGCTTTTTGCAGTACTCACAAATAACATCCTCGACCTTCTACACAATGGGATGTTTGCTAGTATTTTGCTTGGGTCGAGATGACATTAAGGCGAAATGATCACTCACGGAGGATTGCATCATGGCGGTTCTTCAGTTTTCTTCCCCTTGTACAAGAGAGTAAGTAGTAGCAAGAGAAACAACGCCTGCACCGAGAATTTGTTGTTTGGTGAAATCAAACTCTGGGTTCAAGCCGACTAAAAAATCAAAGACTCTAGTCTCCTCTATATACTTCCTATACTTCTCACCATCTTCAAGGTCCTTCCAAACTAGAACTTTCAAGTGATCCATTTCTTCCTATATAGCCTGTAGAGAAGAAAAATGCATAGCAACTGATCTCTACCCTTGACGTATATTGCAATCTTCCCTCTGAAGCTGATACACTCTATCAATATTGTTAACTTGGGAATAAGTAGTAACTACCATATCCTAGATATCCTTGCCAGATGGAAGAAAATGTAATTTCGGGCAATATGAGGTTGCATTGAGCAAATCAGCCATGACATAACAAGGGAGTTGTTCTGTTCCCACTTTGCAAATTTCAGGTCTTTAGGATTTGGCTTTACTTCCCTTCCTGTGATGAATCCCAGTTTACCCCTCCTAGTAATGGTAAGTTTAGTAGACTGAGACCACTTTAAGAAATTAGTTACATCCAGCATAACAATGGTTATCATACCACTGGAAATATTTGCAGTTCTTGGGAGCACACCGGAAACCATCTGAAAATCCTTAGATGATTCCAAATTCTAATAAGACACCTTTTCACCAACCAAAAAGGACCTCCAATACTTTAATTGCGGTTCTAGTCCCAAAAACACGTTACCCCACGGTTAAGAACCAAAGGGAAACCCAAAAAACTAGGTTTGCGAAAAAATATAGGGACAAAAAAATCTCCCAAAAATCACATAGTGCTCAGAAAATTACGAGACCACTTCCTGTCAATCCCAAATTGAAAAGCGACGTGAATGGTCTAGGTTTTACAGCTGAAAAAAATCATTAAACCTGTTGTACATGGCTCGACATCAGATCTGGAATTTCTGTGGTTTTTTTCCTTGAAAAATCCACCAAAAATCATAGAAATTTCATATAACGACAAGAATCATACCAAAACGTTTCTAGAATTAGGGCGAATCAAATTGTGTTGGTTTCATAGATTGCCGCCGACACCTGTGTGGACTACTGACGTCATTCGACGGCGGTCTGACGTCAGCAATTCACCTCTTGGTAGGAGATCAACAAAAAACTAACTCCTAGATGCTTCTACCCGCTTTGATACCAAGTTGCAGAAATTAGGGTTTCAAGAAAGTGAAAGAAAGGAGAGAAGAAAAGAAGAAGAAGAAGAAGAAGAGGAAGAAGAAAGGGAAGTGTCGAGAGGTGTGTAATGTTCACTATTCACACCCTCAAAAGTTCACTTTATAATTGAAAATTAATAATTACAAGATGGCCCTATTTGGGTGCCCAAATACAGAGAAAGTACAAGAAAGGAGAAAATGACCAAAAACACCCATGTCTAACCATTCCCAACAAACTGATGGTTAATTAACGGCAGGGACCAACTTGACACTTTTTAAAAGTTCAGGTACTATAGTGACACGCTCGAACGTTTGGGTACTAACTTGACACTACCCCCAAAGTTCAGGGTACTAAAGTGGAATCTCTCTAAATATTAATTACACATTAAATTTGTAAACTTAAGCTTTAGTATTTACAGTTTAGGCTAAGTTTGGAAGGAGTACAAATACAAATATTTAGAGTGCAAATTATGTATTTTATATTATTGTGTATGTATTTGCAATGTATATATTTGTATTTGTACTTTTTTCAAATTGAGCCTAAGGAAAATTGTCTAAAACTCACCACGGCTTTTAACCATTTCTCTTAAACTCACCATAACTTTTCAAAACGTTAAGGGAACCCCATGTAAGTAAGTTGACGTTAAATAGACTAATGGATATTAGTAGATTACTAATTTACCCTTTAGTTTGTTGTAAATGAAAAATAAAGCAAAACTTTGATAAAAACAACAAAAATACATCTCATATATTTCAGTATACAATTTTTTCTTGCCCATTTTACATATTTAAGTAGAAAGGGAGCTTCAAATAAAAAAAAAAAGAACTCTTTTAATTCAAATCAAACTCATCTAATGTTCTATACCTACTTGCACGTTACAACTGTCACTTTATCCCTTCAAATTTCAAATGCAACAAGAAATGTGATCAATAAAAGATTTATGGTCAAGAAGATGATACGTGGCTCACAAAGGTGTTTTGAATAAAAATTAGGATGTCATAAAAATATATTTAATAAAATTGACATCCCTTCACGGGCAGTTTGATCATAAAAATTGCATTTATGGTGACGTGGCTCTTAATAAACACTATTGGTGCTCCAAGGGATGGTGGGTTTTGGAAAATAAAAAGTCAATGACATGGGGTTCTCTCAAGGTTTTGAAAAGTTATGGTGAGTTTAAGAGAAATGCTGAAAAGTCATGGTGAATTTTAGACAGTTTCCCTTACACTAACTTAAATTTATATTTAGTTAAAGTAATAATTGATAGTAATTGTAAATTAAATTATATAATTATTATGTATATAAATAATAAATTTACTCATATGATTTATCATATGTAACATTTTTATGTAATTAATTTTAATTTTTATCCAAAAAACCATAAATAACGAAGGCTCTTCTTAAGCTAAGGCTACTTAAAGAAAACCTCCTAATCGTATTATTTTTTCTTTCCTTTCTACAAAAAAGAAAAAGAAAAAGAGTTGTATTTTTTTTGGTAAGTATAATTATGGATTGAATGAATGGCTCATGGCTGGTTTAGACTTCTGTATTTTCCTCTCTACCAAAAAGAAAAAAAAGCGCTCCCACTGAAGTCCTTATATCCACGTCATCAACAACAAACAGACTGGCGCAAAAAGCGCCAATAGTCCCGCCATGATTAAGCTCCTTAAAACCCGAATCCCAATAGTCAGGTCGCCGGAAAAATCGTCTTCTCCGGCGCCGATCACAACAGCATCAATTTCTTCCACCGCTAGAGCATTGACAAAAATTTATCCCATCAAAATAGATCTCCCCGATACCATGCAAAGTATCTAACATCAGGCCCAGAGGGAAAAACACCCTTGGTTTAAAGTAATTGTCCAAGGCACGACCAGTGAAGTTTGAAATTCGGATTGATTGTTGGTCGGTCAAAACAGTGGTTCCATGGGCTCCGGGCAAAGCAGCGCCTAGGAGAGCTTCGCCGTGAACAACAGCATCTCCGGCAACGTATGCCACGACGAGCCAACAATGAGACGACGTCGATTGCGTTTTAGGAAGACCTTTCCGGTCCAACGAACCAACTAAAAGAACTAACAGAGAGTCACTTCTAGTGCATGAAATTGTCCAGAAACCGGCCTTCAATCTTCATGGCTTCATAATTGTCCTTAAAGAAACCTGACATCGAAATGCCAAAAGTTGATGGGTGTTAATTGCTAAATGACATGATCTTTGTATCTTATATCAGGCATACAATACAGAATATATGGAGTTAATTACTTGCTCATTGGTGGCGCATTTCTTTTTCCAGGAATGCTGCATTTGTGCTTAAATATATGCACAGAGTAGGTTATTGGTTCATTGGAGATAAATTGTCTCCTTTGATTTACGAAAGGACGGGATTATTTGCTTTTGGCATGGCAATCAAGAATTGAGCTCTGAAGCTAAATGCCCCTTCTCTGACAATCTCATCATGAATTCTCAACCCGAAGGTCGAATTAGAGAAAATGGGGATTTTAATAGCTCAAATTCTTCTCTATATGGGGATGTTGTTGATACGACACTAAATATCAATATTGAAGCTGAGGGTATGGAAAGTCGCTCTATCATCTTCCGTCTTCTGCTCTTTTTTATGGCACTGACTTGTAGTTTGTTTTACAGATAAGAAACGAGCAGATTTGGTGGAGTGGTTAAATGGTATTCTTCCTGATTTAAGGTTGCCGTTGGAATCTTCTGAACAGGACATAAGAGTATGTTTGATTGATGGGGCTGTTCTATGTTGTATTACAAACAGGCTCAGTCCTAGGCCTGTAAATGAGGTTGGGTTGGATTCTTTTATCCATATCTGAATGTTCAAATAAAACATTAATGCTGTTAATTGTTAGCTTTAGAAGTTGGGTTTTTCATTTAGTTTTATTTTTCCTGTAGGGGAGTAGTTATGGCCTTTCTTCTGAGGTGTATATGGATAATGTTAAAAGGTTTCTGGCTGCCATGGATGAATTGGGGCTGCCCAAGTTCGAACTATCAGATCTAGAGCAGGTATATTTTTGTTTGATGGACTTGTACTTGTTTTCTTTTATGTTTTGAATGCAAGGACTACAAAGCTGAGTCATGGATATCTCATGTATGCTTCCACAATGTGCAATTGTGCATGGTGTGTCAAGCAGTTCGAATAGAAGGAAAATAGATCTGCACAGGTGTGTCTGACTGATGACGTTACTCAGAATCCAGGTTTATTAAAGTCAAAATAGAACGAAAAAGGACCATCCTGTCCTTGCATAAGAATTACATGCGAATACAAAAGAATGATCTAGTATGTAATCTCATTTTACAATAGATCACCCAGTCTACAAAAGGTCAAGAAAGCCCATGAATTGATGATCTAGTATGTAATCTCACGATACAATAAAACGCCCTGAAATTGATTCTTTGATAAAAGCATCAGTTTGCCTATGAAAAAAAAAAAATATGCCTGGCATGTGTCCTTGCTTTAGTAACAACAACAAGCTAGAACAAGTTCTCTCACCCCAAAGCAAATTGAGAGAGCTGTTACCATCTTCTAATATCTTGCCCTTTTGTTGTGAATCTTTGGGAAAAAATTTTTGGTCTTTTTGGGTGTAAGTGGATGATGCCTCTACAAATCAGGGGGATTTTCGACCCTACAATTTTCAGGTGGTCTAAGATAAGAGGTAGAGCATTATGGAGATGAGCTAGGGCTGCTTTAGTTTGGACAGTTTGGGAGGAAAGAAATTACAGGATTTTTAATGGTAAAGAAAGGGATATAGCTATTGTTTAGGAACGTCTCCTAACAAGGTTCATTAACTGGGTCAAATCTATGGACTTATTCTCAACTTTCTCCTTTGATGATATGTGGAGAAACTGGGAATCTGTTGCAAACTCTTCTTCAGTTAAGGACAAACCTGTAGTAGACTGGAAGCCTCCAGAAGAAGGCTTTATAAAGCTCAACTTTAACGGCCTAATCGGAGTGGGGGATGTGGTTAGTGCAGAGGTGCAAGCGGCTCTACAGGGATCACAAATTACTAAAGAGTTGAACTTTAGGAGGTTGATCATTGAAAGTGACTCTAAAGTGTAACTGGGTGGCTGAAAGAACTGGAAACAGTAGCTTGGTCTTTTAGGGGAGAGATGAGAAGATTCAGGTGGCTTACCTCTAATCTCACTGTGAGAGTTCAGTGGGAGAGGATGTCGGCATTTGGGCTGGCTGACCTACTAGCTAAGCAAGGGATGAACAAGGATCACTTATTCTGGGCTCAATTTTAATTTTACTTTGTATGTAAGGCAGCAACTCGCGCCTTTTGGGAGAACTCTGTTTTTGTAACCACTTGTCAGTGTACTTTATACATTAAACTTTATCCTAATAAAATTCTTCATTATTCATAAAAAAGAGTATACTTTATTAAGAGAGCATGATTATATACATTCACAATAATGCCCATGAGGCACTGTACATCTATAAAACAGAGAAGAAACAAAGAATATGATACATCCCATCCCACAATATTACAAAAGGACACATGATTAAACTAGATTATGTACACATTTGTCTGGACTCCTCCAATTGAGGTGGTGACACCATTAGTTTATTCACAAGAAAGTTGTGTGGTGAGCATGTTGTAGCCTTAGTGAAGATGTCAGCAATGTGCTGGGATTATGTAGTAGCCCCAGTGAAGATGTCAAAAAGCTGAAGATCTGAGGAGACACGAGGGAGAGAGACAACGCTAGCAAAGAGATGATCTCAGATAAAATGGCAATCCACTTCGATGTTTGGTGAGCTCATGAAACACTGGGTTGGAGGAAAACTGAAAAGCATTCAAGTTATCTACATAAAGAGGTGTGGGGGCGGAGAGAGGAAAGTGAAACTCTTGAGGTAAGCCTTGTAACCATATAATTTCACTGTAGGCAGCAGACAAAGCACGATACTCAGCCTTTGCATAAGATTTAGGAACTGTTGGTTGCTTTTTAGCATGATACTCAGAGATAGCATGATACTTACAAGATTTAGGAACTGTTGGTCACATAAGAATTAGCATGATACTCAGACATAGCTTGTTGCTTCTACATGGTGTATACCTGATCCTACACATATAGTGTTCATCTTATCACACACTAAAACATATATATGTATATACTTATGCATATTAGTATATGCATGTATGTGTTGCACTCACAATCATACAACTTTGGATCTGCTAGAAACAACACATGGAAAGCAGGCTGGGAACATCAGTCAGAAGTAAATACGTCAATGTTCTGTACTGTTATCAGAAATACCATCAACTGGAATGTTTACTTCTGATTTGGTGTTTCTAGTCTGGCTTCCATGCCTTGTTTCTGGCAGATCCAGACTCCAATCATATATCAAAAGAGTTGTTCTTCGAAGAACATTGGCCCTTTTTTGTTTGAGTTAGTTCTCTACAACATATCCATCCACTTCTCTCAGTCTTTCATAGTTTATTTGTGTATCATGCAGGGATCTATGACTAAAGTTTTGGAGTGCCTTTGGACACTTAAGCAACAATTTGGTTCCAGTCTTGGGGGAGATAATAATTTGGTTTCAATTTCCAAGCCTGGAAGCCAGCAGAGGAAGAAATGGAGAGTTTCAGAAAATGAACATTTGGAGGGAAATACTGGCAGCCAAGGGGATGCTACTTCATCTGGACAGCATACAACATTATCCGTAGAAGAGAGACAGAAGAATCTTTCAGACTATCAATCAAAAAAGAATAGTTCAGACTCAAAATTTCAGCATGTTCTGCATAGTCCTGTCATGTCAGGTATGGTTACAATTGTTGTTATGGCGGGGGGAGGAATGTATCTTGCCAGAGTTTCATGGGAGCTGTTCTAGTTAGATGTTTACTGCCATATGTCTTGCAAATGACCATTATTTGCTAGAATTATGTATTTTTTTTTTGAAGGATAAAGAGAAAATTCATTAAAAAAAGTACAGCAGAAGGTCATAAGACATCACCAAAAGCATGAGAGCCAAACCCAAAAGGCTCAATGCAACCACAGCTTACAACCGTGATCATTATTGCCCAATCACCCAAAAGAAAAACGAAAGCATAGACCCAACACGCCCCCCCCTCCCCCCCACAAAAAAAAAGGGCCACTAGCCCGACCCTAACCAAAATCAAAGGTCCCTATCCTAAAGCACCCATCAGTCTTCATCTGTGAATTCATCTTCTTAGGTTGAGAATTCCTCGTTCCATTCCCCTCTCCGTTGTGGATGAGCTTTGTTTTTCTCTTTCTCTTCCTTTTTTCTTCTTTCCAATTCCTCAAATGCCTTCCTAGAAAATCCCTCACCACCAAGAAAAACAGTCCCAAGCTTTTCCCAATCGTAACTTCTCTGTTGACTAGATTCTGTAAAGTCACTCCTTTTAATTCTTCAACTGCATCAGAGTTCTGCAGTGGGCTGGTCACAGTAGGGTCAGAAACATCACCAGTCCTCTTGTCTTCCTGACGTTTCTTCAACATAAGGGTAGCCGGTGACTGAATTGGCAGTCACCCCTCTATGATCAGCGTCAGTAGTCCCATTGCCTCTCCATCTTTTTCTTCTATATACCCATTTAAATTTTTTTGTAGGTCCTGCCACTGCCACGCCAAGTTTGAGCCTTGAAAATATCTTTGTCACATGAACAATGTTGTGAGATCTCGAGTTGTGCAGTTTCTTGATGATTATCCCATTATTCTGATCCTCCTCCTTTTCATGATTAACCCTTTGACCCACATCTCCTTCCAACCTGAATCTCCTCATAATGCAAATCTTCGTCATCCAAACCTTCTTCAATTTGCCTTTCGGCCTGTCCTCCAGTGAGCTCATCACTGCAAGAAATTTCCTGTCCCTCATCCTCGCCCTCAATTTCCATCTCAAAACCGGTGCTAATAATTCTTTTCCGAGTCTTTTCATCCCCCCTTCCAGCCTCACTGATTCAATTGCTAGAATTATGTATTCCTAGTTAACCAAGCAAAGTTACCTAGTATTCATTATGCATTTTGTTTTTGGATTTCTCTGTCTCTCTCTCTCTCTCTCTCCCCACTATTAGTTGGTGATGCCTAAAAGGTAACCTAAGGAAACATTATTGTTAGGGGTTTCTTTTTTTTTTAATAAATAACTGAAAAAGATTAATTAAGTAAAATAGGGAAGTACAAGGAGAAGGGAGAGATAAACTCTCTTAACTCTCCCTAAGCAGTACCATAAGGCTACAACATAGCCCAAAATAGCTAATTCTTTCCCACCCTTTTATAGCCAATACATCACCAAAGCAGTTAGCATCTCTTTTCACCCAAAGCATATTCACTTCTATTCCTTGTGTCAACCACTTAAACCTTATTCTTTTATTAATTGTAGTCCCACCAACCCAGCTCCTCTTCCTTATAAAGCCATTTTATAACCAGTTTTGAACCCCCTTCAATTATCATTTTTCGAATATTCTTCCTTCAACATTTCTGAAAACTCTCCCAATTTCTGATCAAAGTTCAGCTTAATAAAACCACTTATTGGAGGAGACCAAAGTAGCCTCATGACAGCCTTAATAGGAGCAGAATCAGCCACTTCCTTCCAACTACTCATCAAGTCAGCAGCAGAAATATCCTCAAATAATTTAAAGATTTCACCCAGTGGATCACTCTAATGGTGATGGCTTTGATTACCAGTCATATGATTAGATGCCTCAGGGTCATTGATTGAGGAGGCCTTAGGAGGGCTGGTGAAAACATGTAGTGCATCAACTTGTTTACTTGAGCTCACAAGAAAATATGTAAAAGGAGTTGAGTGTTTCTTTCCAACTGTTGAAGGGCCGTACCATACTGTTCTAGCTGGTCATTAAAATAGGAGTGACCACATGCATGGAGAAGGACTTAGCCAAGTTTAATTTTGAATACAAGGTTCATTTGGAAAATGTGCAGTCACAGATTTTAGGCCCATTTCGTACCTGAACCTATATGTTTTGCAAGGAAGGACATATGCCTCTAGAAAGCTTTATGATTCTTCTTTTCAATGCAAGAAATGGAGTATGATTTGGCATTTTCTACATAAAGTTATGACCATTTTTTTTCCAAGGGTGCAGAGCTGACTGCCAGAATTTAAAAATGTATTAATTCCGAGTTCTTTGAGTTTGTCCATGCCTTTTCAACTTTCTAAGTCCAGTTTTTCTGGAGTAGTTCATGAATCTTGTTATATGTGATTCATTGTAATTAGTTCTCTTGGAAATTACTCAAGCTTGGGGGGTTGTTTGAAGCAAGTCTAGGGACATGTAAGAACTAATAAAAAGTAGGTTGGTATGAAGTCTAGGGACATGTAAGACAGAAGATAAAGTAATATCATTGGTCACTCTAACTGTCCCCTTCCTAGCAATGGGGATATGTGAACCATCTGCTGTAGAGACTCTGTCTCTATCAGAGCACAACTGATAGGAACTGAAAAGGGTAGGGACATTAGTCATGTGCTCAGTTGCTCTTGAGTCTATAATCCAGGGAGGTCCCTCCTTACCTGAAAGTGGATGCAAGATTTGCAGTTGCATATGAACTACCTGTATGTGCAAAAGAAGTGGTGTAGTTGGCTCCTGCACCCTGTTGTCCATTTGGAAGGCTAGAGCTAGTTGTATCTTTCTTACTCATAAGCTATCCAAACCTCTCCAATTCTGTTCTCACTGCTGCTACTGCAATGGATTCCCAATCAGTTTGGGAAAGAGGGGCCAAAGAGTCTTCTGTAGTGGCCACATTTGCATTTCCCTTCTTGTTCCTTATCTGGACAGACAGAAGATTTAGATGAAGCTTCCAATAAGTATCCCTGGTATGCTTAGGCTTCTTACAATAATCACACACCAAGTCCTTCTTATCCTCCCTTCTAGTCTCACTGCTCCCCCTATCTCCATTTGGCTTAGGTTTGGTTGTACTAACCATAGCCGACTGGTCAATCCCAGGCTGTCTCAGCATGACGTTCCTCCTTCTCTCCTCTCTAGAAACAAAGGCATAGGCTTGAGAGAATGTCACACTCTCCCTAGAAAGAATATGCTGCCTAGCAATGTCAAATTCAGGGTTCATCCCTACCAAGAACTCAAAAACCTTATTTTTCTCTACCAGTTTTTGATAGGTTGCTGCATCATTTACACTTTCCCATACCATAGTTTCTAAGTGATTTATTTCCTGCCAAAGGGTTTTTAGCATGGAGAAATACATGGCAAGGGTTTTTTCTCCCTATTTTATACTAATCACCTGATTCCTTAACTGATAGGCTCTGGCTACATTTTGCTTCTGAGAGTAGGTTTCAGTCACTCCATCCCAAATCCCCTTAGCAGTATTAGCCCATAGGAAAATTTTTCCAATATGAGGTAACATAGAATTACACAGCCAGGACATTACCATGTAATTCTCTTGCACCCATCAGGAAGAATCTGTATCAGGTTTCTTCTCCTCCCCAGTGATGTATCCTAATTTTCCACGGGCACCAATAGCCATATTGGCTGATTGTGCCCACTCTAAATAATTTGTACCATCAAGTTTTACTGTAGTAATGATTCCAGACCCAAAAATATCATTACTACCTCCAACACCCAATCCCATGGTATCGGTGGATTCCACTTCGGTACTCCAAACTCTCCATCTTACTTTAAACAGTTCAACAGTAAGGTAAAAAATAGATTGGAGATCTTCCAAAAGCAATTCAATATCACACACACAGAAACCAACCCTTTTGGAAGAAGAAAACCCTATTTGGAGAGAAATCTCTCTCCTCCCCATGCTTCCCAATAGAGAGAAGAGTGAATCGATCACTCCAGGAGGCTCAGAAAAATCCAGAAACTTAACCACCCTCTTTAGAATAACAAAAGAAAACTAACAATATCTGGGCGCCCAAGATCAGATAAAAAACAAAGAGTCCAACTTTTCTGGGACTCTTCCCTGTACTCCAGTTCTTCTTGATTTTGATGTCGAACAGTAGATCACCTTCCTGATGACTAGATCCCACCAAAAAATCCAAGAATTGGGCAATCTATAGCAAATCGATCAGCCCTTTGTTACTTCATGCAGTCGGCCGATCTAGGGCTGCATGAGAATGCTTCAAGAAACCCTAGCYGATGGCTCTGATACCAAGTAGAAATCTGCTGAATTCAAAAATATGAACAGAAAAAGTAGTTTCTTGAAGAGAGAAGGAAGAGAGAAGGAGAAGAAGAGATCTTGAAAAGAAAAGAGAGCAATAATCTGGCCGCCCCCTTCACTTATTATTTATACTAAAAATATAAGAGCAGTACAAACAGCATATATAAGACTCAAAAACATAATAAAATTTGGACTCACATAACTACTGTGGTCCCCACCACCTATCTAACAACTAACATAAAACATCTAATCATAAAACAACACAAAACTGATTAATCTTCAACACTAAGAAGGGATTCTTGTATCTTGCTCTTATCTCTTTGGTGGATTCCCTGAGTGGTGAGAATGCCTATTTGAGTTCTATTTTGTGTCTCTTCCTCAGCCTTATTGTGAGATTTTTTTTTTCTGACATCAAGTTGGTATCTGAGCTTTGTTCATTACTTTGGGAGTTTTAGGCTTTTAGTTTGCTCCAATGGTTCGTGGACATGGCTTGGTGAAGTATTGATTGTTTTCCACGAGAGAGAGACCTGTATGATGTTGAAATGGATGAGTTGAGGAGGAAAATGCAGCAATTCCAACAACATCTAGAGTGCTTTGAAGCCTTGAGTCATGATGCATCATGATTTTGATCAGGAATAGTTTCATGAGGAAAGAGAAAAGATTAACCCCTTCCATCATGAAGTATTGAGTGAAGAGGCTTTTTCCTATCATAATGCTCTAGGGAATGATAGCTTCCATTGAGATTTTCACAGCAAGGTGGAAATTTTTGAATTTGAATGAAGGATATACCTGATCATCTAAAGGTGAAGCTTGTGGCTATCAAATTGAAGAAACATGCTTCTATTTGGTGGAAGCACCTCAAAATCCAGTGCTAATAATGAAGCACAAAATAGAACTTTACAACAACATTGATGTTTATACTTTTGTAATGCCTAGAAATGAACATGTCTACCAGGGTATGAGATAGATGGAGGGTTGTGCATCAGATGAATATTTATATGCTTTTTGTTTAAATAGTTTATTTTTCTGTTGCATTTCTTTGTAGAGTCATCGGCTGCATTGATACATCATGTTGGACATAAATTCCATGAGGTATTTCAATTGAAACAAGGATGTTATGCTGATCTTCCTCCTGCTAAGATTTCTGAAATGCTGAAATCAACCAGTTTAGATGTAATTTCCTGCACCTTTTTCTTGTAAATAATACTCAATATCATGCCTCCAATTCATTCTCACCTTCCCCCTCTTTCTTCTTATTCAATTATGTTATTTATTTATTGCAGAATGCTCCCACTCAGTCACTGTTAAGTGTTGTAAATGGAATTTTAGATGAAAGTATTGAAAGGAAGAATGGGGAAATACCTCATGTATGACAGTGAGCAAACAAATCAATTTTATATTAATGAATGAACATGTGAATAACAGAACCTCTAATGCAATATTCTTTGTGAAGCGTGTGGCATGTCTATTGAGAAAAGTTGTACAAGAGATTGAACGGCGGATTTCTACTCAAGCAGAGCACTTAAGAACTGTAATATATTTCAAGGAATTGGTTTTTTGAAATTAAATTATTTGTTCTCTTTTATAACTATTATTATTATTATTATTATTATTATTTTCTTGTTCTGCAGCAAAACAATCTCTACAAGGCTCGTGAAGAGAAGTATAAATCTAGGATCAGAGTACTTGAAACCCTTGCAGCTGGGACTAATGAGAAGACCAAGGTGTTTGAGCAATTGATAATCATACATTTTGAACTGTTTGGGCAATAGGCATGGGCATATTTTAGGTTCTTTATTATACCAGTAATGTTCACTCTTTTAATTTGAAAATGGTTTTTCTTGGTACAGATTGTTAACGAACTTCAGCAGACAAAGGTCCAAATCTGGTTATTGATCTCATTTTCTTCTTTCCATAGATAATACCAGTTCTTTATTACAACTCTTGTTCATCTTCAATTTCATCGTCTTTTTTCTATTCTTTTTTTTTTTTTACATAGATCCATAGATCCTTGGTTCACACTTTATATACTGCTATTTCTTTGTGCATATCGCAATTTTTTAAATCTGGATTAGAGATCAGACTGGGAAGCAATGCAGTTCCTGGTTAATCAAGCAGTTCAACCTCTTGACTGGCAAAATGCCTCTAACACATATAATTGGAAAGCTACCTGGTTCCTGGTTTTCTTTTCTAATTGGATGATCCAGTTCAGTTTTCAAAACATTGATGTATCATATCTTTCATTTTCAATATTTTCTTGGATCCATCTGTATAGTTGCAAAATTTGTTAATGAAAATTTTTGCCTCTGAACTGGATGAACACATTTTTAGGACACTGCAATATGCAATGAATTAGGATGTGGTTTATTTTTATAGTACATAACTAAAAGATGCACCTATATGTCTGGAAATCTGTTAAATGAATTATGATTTGGTTCTTTTGTTGATTCTGGGAGGAATTCCTTACTATGTGTCTGTTGATTGTGGGATTCCATATTGCAAATTGTATGTTTTGATACATAAACTGGTTCTGAGTGGTGGCTTCCTATATTGGTTGGATCTTTTTTTAATCCATTTTATGAGGGATGTATTTATTGTTATAATTAGGTTAATAAATTAAAGGGTAGGGAATCCATACATTCTCTAAACCTGATTTTTCATTCTTTCAGTCCCTGCTTCTTATTCTCCTCCACTTCCTCCTCTTTTCCTACAATTTAACCTTGTATAAGAATTAATTCAGAGGCAACAAAGAGACTGAAGATAAAGTAGAGTGAGGTTGTTGATGTAGGACCAGCTCAGTTCTAGTCCTTAGAGAATGTTGAATTGTCTTCTTTGATCAGAATTTTATGGCTGTTGATGGCTGTAATGGCTTCTTGAAGGAATAAGAGATAAAATAGGGAGAGAAAATACCTGGGATCACACTAGGGCATACTCACCATAGTTAGCATAAGCTGAAGAAAACTCAATAAATTTCTTTGCTCTTTGTTTAAAACGTCCATACATACTTATAGACTCTAAACTCATAATAATCCTAGGAGTCAAACTGTTTGACTCATAATAGTCATAGGAGTCAAACTGTTAGACTCAATAATCCTAGTAGGACTCAAACTAAGCTGTCAACTGTCATATCTTATTTCAATTCAAAGAAGACTCAATAACTCTAATCCTAGTTATGCAATGACTCTGAAATTTTGGACATAAACAAAATATAACTAGACAAGTTAAACCCTATCATTGGACCCCACAGAAAAGTGCAAAATGACAAAAATACCCCTACTGAGTACTGTCAAAAAATACTGAAATACATAAAATTTCATAAACTTCCAATTTTGACTCTTCAGCTCCTGCATCATTTGTCCACACAACAGTAGAATTCAGCCACAAGTATTAATGATCAAATAAAAACAGATGAATAGAAGAAGCAAGAAGAATTCCTAATATAGTTGTTGACTATGGTAGAAACGGAAAAGAATTCTTTTTTTTTTAAGATAACAGAAAAAATTTATTGAAACAAAAAGAAGATACAAGGAAGCTGAAAAGCAATCACCCGAAAAGAAAGGTCGACCCAAACAAAAACCCGATGAGAACAAAACAAACTCAAATCAACCATCAAACTAAAAAGACCCAACTAACGAAAGCCCCTTACCCATAACAATACACTACAGAATAAAAGGCGAAACAAACCAGAAATCAAAACAGCCCAATGCCCAGCAAAAACCCAAGAAATACACCCAAACCGCAACTTGCCACTTCAAGCATCTTTCTCAGTTTTTTGAGTACAGTTTTGTTGTCGTTTGTTGACTGATCATTTGGGTTTTCTGACGAGCTTGTTAGGTCCCATTTCGAATAGTCCACCCTTTAACCTTGTGAAAACCTTAGAGACTGGGATCTGCTGTTGGGATCTTTTATTCCTTTGATTTCTGAAATCTTCTGATTGTGTTTAGATTCCCCACCGCTGCTTTAGGATTCCCTGCTGGCTTTTGACCCCTGTCTTCAACCACCAACCCCTCAACCACTTCTTTTGGCTTCTCTCTGCAACCTCTGGCAATCGCTTCCATCTCTTGCCTTGTTGAGTTATTGCAATTAGGATTAACCGCTGGCAGATTTATCAAACCTTCATTCTTCCCAGATGTTTCCTCCACAGATCTAAAGGCTTCTTTTGCAAATTCCTCCCCTCCTAGAAAAAAAGGCCCAATATTTTGCTAACTTTCACTCTCCTATTCACTACTTCCTCAATGTTAGTAGTGTTTTCTACCAAATGGGGCTCATTGATCATTGGTTCAGACTTATTTTCCTCCCCTGAATCCACTTCCATCCCCTCCTCTCTAATCTCCTCTAGAGGGAAAGTTCTATACTTTTTCCTTTTATATGTTCTAACCCCCCCCCCCATTCTTATCTTCTTCACCTTCACTTTGCTCTCCTTCAATCCCCAAATCCTTCTTCCCTCCTTCCTTCCCTTCTACACATCTGTCTCCTCCTTCTTTATTCCCCCACCTCTCTTCCACAATTCTTATTTCCTTTGCTCCTTCAGTCTCAATCCTCTAATCTCCCTTTAAGTTCTCCCCCTCTTTAGTGGCTCTGCTTTCATTCCTTCTTCTCAAGGTTAGAGGATTGTCTTCCACGATCTTTCCTTCTATTGCCACTTCTTGCTCTCCCCCAGCCACTCCCTTTATCCTTTCCAGACCTTCTTCTTTTTTATTCTTGGTGACCAACAATTCTTCCCTATCTTTCTTTTTGTCCTGTTACAAGATTCTGAACTTAGACTCCGCTTGCGCAGAGTTGGAGCAGGCGTAGGATTAGGAAATCATAGCGAAGTGCTGGCTCGTAGGATTAGGAAATCCCTACCTTCTATCATTGCACCAAATCAAGGAGCCTTTGTGGAGGGGAGATAAATTATCAATCAAACCCTAATAGCAAATGAAAGTGTGGAGGACTTCAAAATATCTAGTAAGGAGTGGTGTGTAAACTTGACTTGGAAAAAGCTTATGACATGGTGGATTGGTCTTTCTTACTTCAGGTGATGGTGAACTTTGGGTTTGGAGACAGATGGTGTAAGTGGGTGATGGGATGCCTTAGAACTTGTCATTACTCCATTTTGGTAAATGGGACAGTGGTTGATTTCTTCCCGACTTTGAGGGGGAGAAGGCAAGGAGACCCTCTTTTTCCGCTTTTGTTCACATTGATGGCAAGCGTTCTGGGAAGATTAGTTACTAGAGCATATTCTAGGAATCTAATGAGAAGGTTGAGAGTGGATAGGGACAGGGCATCATTGACTCACTCAATCAATTGCAATTTGCGGATGATACAATGCTTTTTTGTGAGAGTGGTGTAGAGAACATTAATGTGGTCCCCACCTTGCTTATGTTTGTTTATTTATGTTTAGTTTCAGTCAGTAATTATTTTCCATTTGGTAGTTATTGGTAGTTATTCTCTTTTCATTGTTTATGTAAACAGTAGGGGTAATTCAGGCTTTTCCCCTATTGTTTCTGAGCTTTGCTGGAACTAGATGAGGATGTAACTACCAACAAGTGTCTTTAGTATACTTTGGTTTCTTGCAATGTTCATGTACTAGCTCCCTCTTATCTTCCTTATTCATATCCCTCTCCTTGTCACCCCCAAACTTTGGTTTGACTACTGCCAAGGCTGATTCAAAATAATGTTGATGCTATAGCATAACTTTTCTCCTACTTTTTTCACTGTGTATTAAGGTAGGCTTGTGATAAGGTCACACTTTCTCTCGTGAGAAGTCTCACAATATCATATTTAGAATTCCGACCAGCTAGGAATTCAAACACCCTATTAGTTTCAACTTGCCTTCTGTAGTTTGGGCATCCTTCTGACTTTCCCACTCAATTGTCTCTAGGTGGTCAATTTCATGCCACAAGGATTTCAGGGTTGAGAAGTAAACTGAGATTGGTTTCTCTCCTTACTTAAGGTTGTTCACTTCACATTTCAGCTCATAAGTCCTAGCCACATTAAGAGGTTGGGAATAGGTTTCTTTCATGATGTCCCAATTTTCCTTAGCTGTTTTTGCCCACAAATAATTTCGGTTGATGTGAGGCTGCATGGAGTTGCACAGCCATGTCATAACCAAATAGTTCTCCTGAACCCATTTGGCATAGGTCGGGTCCTCCTTAGTTGGTTCTTTCACATCCCCCAACAAATAGTTCAGTTTTCCTCTACCCCCAATGGCCATCATGGCTGATTGGTCCCATTCCAAGTAATTTGATCCGTCAAACTTGACAGTTGTAATCTTAAATGTGTTCTCGGACATGTTACCAGAACCACCAGCCCCCAAAACACCTTCCCCTTGATTCTTAACTCCATTCTTGTCAAGATATTGGTCAAAAAGCACCCCTTTTAGCACTGAAATAAGTGAAACTGCACCCAGAATTTGTTAACAGTCGAACTAGGAGGGTGAATTAGGTTCGGCAACTACCCAGAAATATTAGAACAGCTCTGCTAGATTTCCAGAAAACTAAATCACTTAGTCTGGAATGGTGAAACAGGTCCAACTACTGCTCCGGAATTAACAACAGTCTTGAGTTTTAGGGTTTTCTCTTGATCTACGATTAGTCCTGGGATTAAAACCCTAAAACTCAGGAGAAAAGGGGAGATTTCCCAGCCGCATCTCTCAGAATAATCAAAAAAGGCTTCTTTTCAGATCGATCTCAAAAAAAAAAAATCAACTTCAGAAAAAAAGTCTGGCCGCCACCTTCAAACTGATGTCTGAACCCAAATCTTGAGGATTCTACCCTTCTTCTGATTCTTCCTGATTGCTGGATCTCTCCAAGGCTCTACAGTCCCTTGAGTAGCAGCTGCACACTGCCAGCAACCTCCAAGAATCAGCCGATGATCTTCTTTCTGCTGGAACTTC